ATGTTTCCCGAGGTAAGTTCCTGATAACTGCAGCACACTGTAGTCATGTTATTCCTTCATACTCCAGGGCCTTTGACATTTCAGTCTACCCAGCAGTGGTTCGTTAACAGAATGTACTTATATATTTATGTTGCAGCTACTTGTTATTAACTTCGGTCTAATTCCAGTAATGCTTTTGGTCCATTATCAGAACAGTTTACTCATAGGCATTTGGTTCTCTCCAGGTTACAACACTCTTCTGCCGAAGCAGAAGCTCCTTAGGGCCAGAGTTGAGAGCTAGGGTGAAAACTGCTCTAGCTGCATTGTTTGTGAGTCATCCCATGAGTACATTAACTTCTAGAAGCCGAGTTGATTCTTCTGTGCAATTTAGTAACATTCTAATGACTACAAAAGAGTGATTTGTCTGTGTATATTCCTTATTGAGGCTATTAGGACAAAATATAATAGGGGCATAGATAAAATCATACGGCTAGGCATTCAAATGATGAACATCAGTGTAACAGTGGTAAAATTCATCTACTTATTGCAGAAGTAGAAAAATTACCTTTCTAATTATATTATAAGGTTCCTATTATTCTAAGATAAATTAATAGCTGACTGTTCATTCTGTATGAGATTATACTTTTGGTATAATAATACAAAGGAATTTAATTGCTAATTTTAGGCTCTTTTTTACGTTCATTTCTACCATATTGTCTGAGACAGGGAGTCAGCCTGAGGCAACATACTGCTCGGCTTTATTTCATACACTATAGATGTAGTTTATTTTTTCTGTTCTATGCAGGAATAGTTATCTGGCTAATGACCAAGACACTGCACAGTGAGTGCACCACAGCTGAATGTTTCAAAAATACTTTAGGAAAATTCTTGCTCCCCCTGCAGTCAAAGGAAGCTTTTGCAGTGAATTTAAGAAGGAAAGGAGACGTGCATTTCTCCTGTGGATGCTTTAAAATGTGCTTGATGTTTGCGTGTGTGTGTGCATGTTTGTTTGCTTTGCTTTGTCACTGCTTACTTAAGAAAGAAACTAGATAAAAACTTTAACATCAAAATACATTTATCTTGGATATCTTTGCTTACTATCTTTGTTGGCAGTACTTTTGTAAACAAGATAAACAGTGAGTAAACAGAAAAAACGACTTTGATGGTGTATTTTGTACAAAGTTCTCAGATGATTAATGGTGGGGCATGTGAGTCTGCTAAAACAGAAGAGGACAGAGAGTATTAGAAATCTCAGAGGCATTTGAAATGTAGAGAAGTACAGTTCTAATTAATTCACAACAATTTTTTGCAAATAAATGGTGTTAACACTAAATAATTATAATTGTTACATATGTAGGTAATAGATATGATTTAGTAAATGTATTCTTATATATAATATAAACATATATAAAGCTTTGTGTAATAATATATTTCCAGATATTGTATTAAAATAATACCACAATACACATCAAATAGCATGAAGTACTAAGTGGTTTTCTAAGAGTTTAATGCCATTAAGATTTATAGAATAATTTAGGCTTGGAGGGAACTCAGAAGATCACCTCATTACCCTCTTCTAAGATTAAAAAAAAACACCTTTTTTTTCCCTAGAGATTCAGTTAACTATTCCTTAAGTTCCCAGAGGACACAACATCCAAATAAAAGGATTTTTTTACATACCTTCTCCTGGAAGGAGTGATTCTTATTTTCTTTTTGTCTCTGCCTCTTTAAAATTTAGTAATAATTAGAAGTCTGATATAAACCAAGGAGCTTCTCTGTGGCTGAAATGCTGTGTTTTCCTTATACACATCAGAAGGTTTTAGTTTTTATCATTTTGACAACTGACACAGCATATGTGAAACAGGTGATCCCAGCTAACAAAACATATGTCTTGCTTGCTGGGCAGGAGAGGAAGGATTTAATAACTGCATAACAGAATTAAGCACTGAACATTTCAGATGCTTTCAAGTCAGTTCAGAGCTATATATTTTGGCAAATAAAGGAGAGATTTTTTCATCAAAATGGATTAACTCCAAGAAGTTATTTTTAGCTTGGGATATTAGCTTTTCTCCAGGCCAGTCCCATAAAATGTGAAGATCAGATTTATACCCTTATACAGAAAATATCTCGTGAAAGAAAGACCCGGCACACTATCTTTTGGCTATGCAAAAAGCCCTCATCAGGTAAACTGTACACAACCAGCCTCCCAAAGAAATCTGATACACAATCACTCACTGAAGAAGAGGCTGTTGTGGAAGAAAGGTGAGAAGCTGTTTTCCCTGAATGTGTGGTGTCCCTCTGCAGGTAGAGTGGCTGGGGTGCGGATACTGTATTTGTTACACAGCTGCTCTGCCTCTCTTTTGTTGACTTGAGTGCAGAGACTGTCTTGTTCATAACAAATTTCACTGGTCATGGGAAAGTTCATTCTAAATTTTATGAGCAATGCTCCGTTCATTTACCTCAGGAGGCAAAGAATGAGGAACTGGAATGTGCTCTTCCAAAGAAGCAGTTCAAGGGCGGAGTGTCCATTCCTTAGCAAATCTTATAAAACCTGTCTTTTCTCACTAATGCAAATCTCAAGAAGCCCAAACTCTTTCTCTCACCTTTGTGCCTTTAAACATGAGCCATGCCACCTGCAGCAGGCAAGTTCAATAATATTCAGTGATTGTGGGGCTGAGGACTGAAGAAGTGAAAAAAAAAAAGTAAAAGGACGATTTCTTCCAGTCTGCTGGTAAAAGAGCTTCTCAATTCCCAAATGGTTTCATAACAATAATTTTTTGTAAAGGACAGGACAAAGTTCCCTCTCCCCTGTGCTACAAAGACACCCATTGTTCCTCCTTTCAGGCTGGTGTTCATTGCATTAACAAACATTTCACCGTTTAAGAGGTACGTCCAACCTCCTAATCATAAGAAATTCAGTTTACCACTTAAAATGGCAAAGGGGATAACTTAAACACTTTGAGGCAGATCCTCCTCTCCTCTCCTCTCCTCTCCTCTCCTCTCCTCTCCTCTCCTCTCCTCTCCTC